TGCAGATAATCTAACTCATAACTGTCCAACCCAAAATATCCTGTGCCCATCTTGTGCTGGACAGCACCTACCTCTCTTTTCTGGCGCCACGCTTTTTGCTACTTTCCTTTCCAATCCGCCATGGGGCTTGATATGTTAAAAAAATGTCTATCTCCAAGACAAGATGCTATTTACTAACCACTCTTCCTTGGTGTTCAGATCTGTTAGGATGTTAGTATGACTTTTCTTTTTTAGTTTCTTGTGATAATAGTTGCACATTGGCAACTATGAACCTCTTTTAACTGCGGTGAAAAGGCGAAAAATGCAATGGTATGAACATGTAAAAAGAACTAACGGCCTCTCAAAAACAATACTGCAAGGCTCAGTAGAGGGAAAGAGGAGAAGAGGCAGACCAAGAAAGACCTGGTTACAAAACCTGACTGACTGGACAGGCCTCAGGAATGCAACCATGAAGTCCATCGCAACTGACCACCAAAGGTGGAGAGAGCTGATCAGACATTCAACAGAAACTGATGACCCAAGGACACGTAACTGTTACGTGATGATGATGTGATAATAGAGTGCTAGTTCCCCTCCGCCTTCCTTCGTTATCCACATTCACATGGCTTCAGACTATGTTCCCAGTCTCTGGTTACCTAGATAGCTCAGGCAAGTGACTTCCCTGCTCTGTGACACTTCCACTAGCAGCAGAGGACACCCCCGAGATGTCCATCTATTCATTGGATACTAGGTCCCCATAGAAGCGTTGCCAACACCGCAATGTATTTACCATCTTCCACTCGTTGAGTAGAAATACACCCCCCTCCATCCCTGACCCCCAAATAAAAATGAAATCTTTCACGTGCAAAACATTTTAAAATTATTAGCATCTTTATCTTTGCCACTGGATCGAGAACGTATTCTGTTTTAATTCATGCATAGATTTCTTCCGTCCTCACTTTTAACACCATGTCGCATTTTCTTCCTAAAAAATGACATTGGTTCTCAGGTCGACGCAGCCGATAATGAGTACCAAGTGAAGTCCTGGAAAGCTGACCTGGTTTAATGCTTACCATATCACCAGTACCGCCATATGAATTACGGTCAGTTCTGTTTAAACAAACGTTAGTCTCCCCACGGGAAGTAGGTCGCATTCCATTGATAAATTTGTTGGACTAGTCAACGCCGTCTCTATATTGTGCCTAACAACTAAATGACCCACTTTTTGAAAGGAGTCCCTCGGAAACTGGTTACTGGAAGCCCTTTCCATGTGTTGCATCGTGTGACATTTTAATGTGCTTACGAAGTTTTGTGTTCTGAATGTATTCGTATTACAAATCGACAAGCGGACATTGTGAAGTGAATGTACACGATATTGCTTTCATACTGACTGTGCAAAAATAGTGCAACTACACTGTGGATAAATAGTGTCAAGATATTTCGGAGCTCTGGGTAAGTGGTTGAAAATAATTTTTAATTTACTAACTAACACTGGCTGTAAACTGTAGCAGAAACTTCTGGTTGTTTATTTACTTCTTATGCATGATGGCAGTTGTACGGTCTGTGTTCATTTTTGTAAACTGGCTTCTGCTTCCAAACACTGGCTGTAAACTTAAGCAGAAACTTCTGGTTATTCATCTACTTCTTATGCATATTTGCAGCTGTGCGGTCTGTGTTAATTTTTTGTAAATTGGCTTTTGCTTCACGAACACTGGCTGTAAACTCTGGCAGAAACTTCTGGTTGTTCATCTACTTCTTATGCATATTAGCAGTTGTACGGTCTGGGTTAATTTTTGTAAATTGGCTTTTGCTTCGCGAAAACTAGCTGTAAACTCTGGCAGAAACTTCTGGTTGTTCATCTTATTCTGGGCCTTAGCTTGTTCCAGACACTGTTTTGAACAACGAGATCCGGTATCTATATGGGAAATTATTGTGTTTGATATGTGTATGTTGCACAGCATTTGCAGTTATATGATCTTTTTTAATTTGCTTTAATTATCTTTAAAATAAAAACCATTCATGATACTTATATGCGTTGTTGCATGCAGTATTCATAAATATGTGTGCTGTATTTTTAAACAGTTACCAAAAATTCACAATGTTAAGGAACTGATTTCATCCAGCAAGATGAAACTGGACAAATTTGTTTATGCTGTTTGTACCTTGAGGATACATATTTAGTAGTGCTATAAGTACTGTTAAGAAAACTGCACTGGGTGAAAAATTATTGCACATATCAATTTCATAATAACTGTATTAAATAACAGTATAATTATATGTTGTAGTAGTCTACTAATAGTAATAATAACCATAAATCATTTATATTTATGTTATTAATGACATATGTATGTTTCACAGCAACATTTGTATGCGCTAAATTTGATAAAGTACAAATGTCACCCCTTTCCAACCCCCCCCCCCCCTTCCCCGCGGCTCCTCTGATGCAACAATACCCTCTCAGAAAAAGAGTTTGCACTAATACGAATATTTCTTTACTTTTGTTGGAATAACTTTCAGTTTATATCTATACGTTACTGATGTTTATGTTCATGTTGACTGTAGCAAAAGCACTTTTGTTTGTTTGTCTGTAATAGCCTTTATTGTAATATTTTAATAGCACACTTATTTACCTTAAAAATGGCATATCGTTCTATAAAATATGTCGCAAATTAATGAAACTGTAGTATAATCTGTATATACTTCTACTTGATAAAAACTGTTAACACATATGGACTCAATTCTTGCACAAGAACGGGAATCCCCGTTGACCTGTTTGGTCTATAAATAGAGAAGGTCGTGGACTAGTCTAGCGTGGTCTAGGTTATGGATGTGACGCTCTTCTATTGTCTGTTGTCTTGCATTTACCTTTTTATTCCAAGAAAGAGACTGCCTGTGACATAGGTTGCAACACTCTCTAGGGGGATTGTGTGTTAGACCCAGTTTTTAAATGTTTTTGTAATGTCAGAAGCGCTGATATCGTAAAATATAGAACACACGATATCAGCCGTATTGGGAAACACCCCCGTCACCTTATGTGAAAGTCGGGTGTCTCAAGGCCGACTAAGGTGTACCGGTGTGTAGAATGGGGTGACCAACGTATGGTTTACCTCCCCCCCCCCCCCCAAAAAAAAAAAAAATAGTTATTCTGCTTTGGCGTTATTGTCTGCTTACTACTAGTGTTGAGAGCCATTGTTGTGAAACGGCTTGACTCTCGCCTGCTGATGTGAAGGTCGCGGGTTCAAATCCGAACGGTGCTGGACTAATTTTTTTAATGACCTTGGCTCCCAGATCAGTCCAACCTTCAATATGTACCAGGAGAAAGTCCTGGGAAGTAAAGGCAGCCGGCGTGATGCTGACCACTTTGTCTATCGAATTCCGATTAGTCTATAAAAATATAGGTCTACCCTATATGCCCAAAACGCCTGATTATTATCTATAGAGTTTCTTGTATGGAAATGTCTACACAAATAATGTACACACTTTTAATGACCCTAAAGAAGCAGTTAGAATTACCATTCAAGAAATAACTGATACGTTGCAGAAATTATTGGACAATTTGAAGAAACGTGTACAGTCATGTCTCCAAACCTTTTGTTGCGTGCTGATTTGGGAGAGTAATATTGTGTGAAGAGACAGAGTGGTATGAGAGTACTTTCCTGGAGTTCAAGGGGAATAGTGTCAACAGTGGCCCGAGTATTAATGGGAGAGAATGTTGACCAGTGAAATTGTATTATAACGAATGAGGCATGCACGCACGTAGAAGTAGAATCCGAGGGTTACTGTGTGGGGGCTGACAAGCATGGATAACGAGACCCACGGAGGAAGAGTGGATTACGTGACGGCGTGATTATCGTGTAACATCAACCACCCACATATGCGTGATCCTCGAGAACGCCCACATGAGCGTGTGTCTCGAGAACGCCCACATGAGCATGATTTCCGAAAACGCTCACACGAGCGTGCCTCTCGTGTAAACGTCATCAGCGAGAGTCAGAGCAAGATATATATATATATATATATATATATATATATATATATATATATATATATATATATATATTTAGAGAGAGAGAGAGAGAGAGACCAAGTCAGGGTCAGTATTTATCTCTCTCGAGTAAGGCAGACAGAGTATCGTACAACTATCAGGCATCAAGGTCTGAGTAAGGGTTGAGGTTGCGGTATTGGTCAAAGGTATAGTCCCGCTGGCGAAGTAAGTCCGAGGGGACGGGATGCTCCAATAGTAACTGTTCTGGGTGACGACGCGAGGAGACGTAGGGTCACTACGAAAACAGAACAGTGGGGATGCCGACAAGCGATGTGTGCTAGAGAGGACTGTGTTAAAAGTCCTGTCGGTCATCGGAGTCCTTTGACAAGCTGACGTGCTGTGTGCTTTGGAGAACGGCAAGGGAAGTCCGTCTCCAGTCAGCCGTGGTTGTCTGCTGAAATAATATCGAGGTCCATTGGATAGGAGAATTCGTCCTGTTTAGCTGTATGACGAGCCCAGAGTTGTGGGACGCTGTAGACTTTTGGAGCTATAGTGGTCAGGAAGAGGTCGCTATGAGTTGAGAGAGCGAGCGAGGACTAAATAGACTATGTCTGAATGTCAAATAGGATCAATGTCTGCGCCTCTGCAGTTTTGTTCATGTGAGGTTTGTGTATCCCTTCTTGTGTTCCGTTAAATAAATATGTTATGTGACGGAACTATTGTCGTCGAGTCCTGCTTCCAAAGTGAAGGAGCGAAAGTTACATCTGATTATTGTGTAACTCAGACAGCACATAACGCCTGTGATAGACATTTCCAACATCTATTGTAACTAATATGTAATTGGTACTTTTCAACTCCTCCAAAACAGCGTTAAACCATAGCAGTAACTATTGTAACTAATTTTATTTACTTTTTGTTTTAATTTTTCACATTTTTGGTGACATGTTTAATTTTTTTTCCTGATTTGTTCTATATACAAAGTGTAATAAGACTTTACAAACACCGTGTGTAACGAAACTTAAAAAAACCTGCAAATTTATCGCCGTAATGGGTAAGAGACCAATTTGATTTCATTCCATTTTGAAATCAGCGTAGTTTTAAATTTAGTATTATATCTATAGTAGATGAAAGTATTGATGGTTGCGTTAATTATTTCCAAATATTTTCTAACACCGTTTAGAGTCATATAGAAATAATTGTAGCGCCTACCGATTCTAAATTCTGGCTCAATGACTCCAGCCAGGCTGATTAAAATCTTCGGTGTATTGCATATAATATATATTACCGAAATAAGAGTTACCTGTTTGACAACATGCAGTTCTTTACCAGAGAGTTTGCCTTTTGGGGAGAGTTCTTCGCTGCTTTTATCATCATGTGTTGACTTATCTTTGCTACACGTCTGCATCTGTGAAGTCTGTCTAAATCTGAAGGAGTCCTGAAGACTGTTGGCCATAAGCATAATGCATACAAGAACAATAACTTCTGTAGACATCGGTATAATCATGTCTATAATCATGAAAATAACATTTTTAATATCTTCTCTGTGACGCGGCAACCATAGGGTTGGCCTAGATATCTTGGTCTTGTTGTCCAGTCTAGTGACCATTCCCATGTTGGCAAGAATTGGAGTGTAGATAGCCACAGCAAAAATTGCAAATCCAGCCATGAAACATACAGTTCTCGAAACAGTAAACCAATTCTTAAACTGTAGAGGTTTGACCACACACATACAGCGGGCAACGGCAATAAACGTCGTGGCTAAGACATTGGTCGTAATTAGAAGTATCATAATGTTACCTAGAATCACAACTAAACCATACGGTTCTACTGGAAACCGGATTGGAGTTATTCTCTCGCAAGTAGAGAAAGCGACTGTGATCCCAAGAGAAAACGATGTTAAAATGTAGATGAGATCAAAGAAAGATAAGACCAGGAACGATATCGTGACACCATCGTTGAGTCCCATAGCGATGAAAGTTGCCATGTTCATCGTGTTTGATATAATTCCAAAAAATGATAATGTAATATACACAACGGTGCACATTATAATAAATATAATATACTCGTCATAAGAGACAATATCGCGAAAGAATATTATTTGTTCAGTAGCGTTATACATGACTGCTTCATTTACCACACAGTAGTTGTCAAATATTTTGTTTCAGCTTTTACATTAAATTAAGTTGTAACTCTTCCAATCCAGTCAAGGCAATGCTAAACTTAGAAGCTTAATTTGTATCACGCGAAACACAATGCAGTATTGAACAATTTATATTTGGCATCAGTATTCTAAGAAACTTGGGCAGTTTTTGTAGTGTTCGGTACAAACTACAAAGTAAATTTGATTGTAAAACACTCATAGTTTATACGTTGTCTTAATTTACTTTATCAAACGGTTGCTCCGGTTTTCTAAAACTGATAGAGCTTTTGTCGTTACTTTGCTTCCTGGTCATCTGTGTTGTGTCGTTTGTTTCTCGCTGTTCAAATGATTCTTTGTATTACTGCCGTATTAGATGATACACCAAACAATACATTAGATACTCTCACCTGTAAAGTAGACGACATGTTAGTCCCGCAGTTATATTCGGCTGTAGTGATAGTCATTTACACTCGAACCTTTTTTAACTGTTTATGTTTCAGTAGTTTTATTACTGTTAAACACATGCCTGGAGGAATTGATAGTTGTTAAAATACAAACGCAAAAGGCAAGAATGCTTTTTTAGCACTAGCAAATTTGTGGAGCTCCAAAGAAATTAAAACTAAACTTAAAGTTTTGATACTGATATCAAACCAGTACTGTTGTATGGAGCGGAAACATAGAGAACAACTAAGACAGTTACTAATAAACTACAAACATTCATTAACTGGTGCCTGTGCAGAATAGTAAAGTAAAGTAAATCGTATGCTACTATCACTAATGCAGAGCTTTTGGAGAGAAATAAAAAAAAAGTTCCAGTCGAGATGTGAAAAAAAAGACTCTGGCGTTGGACTGGACACACGGCGAGAAAACCTGATAACAATTTAACTATAAAGTTTTTGCTCTGGAACCCACAGGAGCATAGCAATAAAGGAAGATCAAAAACCGCTGGAGAAGAGTGAACTTAAAAAGATGGGGACGATATGGGGAAGAGCTGCATGCGATAGCGAAGGACAGAACACTGGCATTTAAGGGCCTGTGCTGCATGGGGGGGGGGGGGGAAGGGGGGTTATAATGCATACGAAGATGAAAACGAAGAAGAAGAAGAAGAAGAAGAGGAAGAAGAAAAAGAAGAAGGCTCTCTGTAAATAAATGGACAGCGCAGTGGAACAGATAGAGAATTCTTATAGGTAAAAAAAACTTTAGGTGAGTAGAGGCTATGGAAGATATTCAACACGGAGGAGAAACAAAGGCGGACTTTTAATAAGATTTCAGTTGACATGTCGTCTCTTCGTTGGCTACTGAAAAAGGGGGGACGGAGCACGTGTGGGAATGTACCGAGTGCAGTGAAGTTAATTTTTGATCCATTTTTTAAATTAACTTTGCTACAAGTTTGCATCAGTGAAATTAGTTTGAATATGAAGGAGTCCGGAAGACTTGTGGTCACAAGTTTAATGCACACAAGACCAGAAACATCGTAGAACATTCTTCACTAACCTCAAAACCTCAGACCCGCAATCACTGGTTTTAATCATTTTATAATATAACACACACAGCATTGTGGTCATTAACGTATTCAGTACAATAAGTTTTGCCATCAGATGTACAAGCCGGCAAATAAAAACTATGACAACTCTTAAGTAGTGTACGTTCAAAGAGGCTAAATACACAGCTGAAGTGATCATTGGGAATGCCAGAGTTCTTAAGTTTAGACCAAATCCGTAAAAATGTAAGCGAACATATTTGCGACGGTTGGGGTGTACAGAAAAAATATATACCCAGATTTCATGCGTGGCTTAAACAGTTATTGCAACGCGTTTTTTCTGATGTATTAATTGCTTGCAAAAAAATGTTGCCTCAAAAACTCAGGTAAAATCGCAGAATTATGGAGTCTTCACTCAAAATTTGCGAAGTCGCTTTACAGGAGATGGAGTTTAAGGAGTTACAAGGGGATCTGGTCGACGCTCGACACTCAGGGGAAAAGGCGAGACGGAAATACAATCAGACAGTTACTGGTGCCATCGGAATTTTAACTCTTTGCTTGCTGCTGAAGATTTGAACTGAGCGTTTATGGCGTGTCCCGAGTGCTGTGATGTCGATTCCTTATTCAACATTCAACAGAGTTAAGGCAAACAACATTGTCCTAGCTTGGATAAACATAATCTGTTAAACCTTGCACAAAGAGGATAATGTCACCAGAAAGATAACATTGCAAAACATTCAAGTACTAAAACTCTAAAGAACATCACGCACTTAGAGGGTCACAACTTTGAAAAATTGACACGATAACAGATATAATTTAAGATAGATAACACTCCAAAGAAAGTTACCACTAAAACTTTAGACAACATCATATAGTAATGACTCCCAAAACTTATAAAGTCGTGTAAAGAAGTTTTCGATGAAAAGATAATACAGTAAAGAATGTCGCCACTAAAATTCTAGACAACAACTTTTAAAACGGACAATTATGCGGAATAGGAAGTAGTTTCAGATACACATATAACACATTTACATTTCATACAAATAATATTCAATCAAGCAATTTGCCGCTGAAAGCAGGCTGGCAATTTCGTTCTGGCAAAATCTATCTATATTACAAAGCCCCTAGGTGTTTCGTGTCCTCTTTCAAAAATTGCTCTTATAATCATATGTCGATATCTAGGAAAGCTTAATCTGACAAAAGTCATTATAGTCGGTTACAATTTCCTTCTACTGTCCTTTTTAGTATTGATATAACTGCTCCCGATTATGTTTTTTGCCCCCCCCCCCCCATCCCGCCCCCCCCCCCCCGCCACCCCCCCCCCCAGCCCCCCCCCCCCCCTCCCCCCCCCGCCCCCCCCCCCCCCCCCCCCCCAGCCCCCCCCAGCCCCCCAGCCCTCCCCCCCCCCCCAGCCCCCCACAGCCGGCACCCCCCCTGCCCCGGCCATAGCCCCCCCCCCCCCCCCCCCCCCCCCCGCCCCCCCCCCCCCCCCCCCCCCCCCCCCCCCAAACCGATATTATTACACTTTGAAATGTTTACAAGCTAATTTTGTCACAGAGCTGCATTGGAGTGGTAAATTTGTTTCGTTTAATATTTTATTACCAAATTGATTCCTGAGGTCTGTGGCAGCGATGGCAGCGGGGATTTAAACTGTCACTATAAATAAGTGGCTCCAACTTTTCACCTCTCATGTGGCGCCCTCCCCCTCAGACCGCTGAAGTATATGATCCTTTTCACGTTGTTAGAGCAACGGGCATATTGTGCTAACTCCATTTGTTTGAAGGCTAGCCGGTACTCACTGGGTGATGTGGTCAGAATCACGCCGAAGCTGTTGTAAACTGTCACAATAGACTGTCACTGTCAAACCATCATTATTGCCTGTCATCAACATCACAAACCTGATCTTCCCCAATTGTTTTTTTTCGTTGGTAATTAAGAAAGCATAATATTTTTCATATTAATGTTATATTTTCAGTGAATGCATCAGAATTAAAAAAACTGCATGCCCCTGAAAAAGAAACGGAGATGGAGATGTATGTTAACCGGACTCAATAATCAGCTGCTAGCCTATGATTCCACCTGATAAAATCCCACCCAAATTGTAAAGATGCAAAAGAAAAACTTAAATTACAAAACCTGATGGTATGTTAATGTTATCAGAAACAGAAATGAAGAACACTAATCGTTTGAGTAATACAGTTGTGATTCCGCGATGAGCAGATCTCTGCACAATCTGGTGATCTGCACCAAGTCATCATCATCACGCCGACTGGCGAGGGCGATCATGCCTCTCCATAATCTGCGATCTCCTGCAGCGTGTATCAGTTCGTGTGCCGACACATCTTCATGCCATGCAACAAGACTGTCAAGCATCTTCTCTCGTTGTCTTCCTCTATCTCTCCTTCCACATATCTTTCCAGTGGTCACAACATGTTCTATTTTCCCTCTTCTCATAACATGGCCGAAAAATGATGACTGTCTCCTTCTGATGTCTGTGATAAGTTGTCTTCTGGCTCCCGCCTCTTTCAAAACCTCTTGGTTGCTCTTTTTGGCTGCCCAAGGTATTCTAAGCATTCTTCTGTAAAACCACATCTCCGAGGCCTCCAGAAATTGTTTGGCCTGCCTACCGATTGTCCAGGATTCACAGCCACATGTTAAAACTGGATGTATATAGCAAGCAAGAATTCTTTTTCTAACTCCTAATGACAAGGATATATTGCACAAGATGTTTTTCATTTTATAAAATGCAGTTTTTGCCTGTCCTGTTCTATTTCTTATCTCAGTTATGCATCTTCCATCTGATGTTATCCATGGGCCCAGATAGTTAAATTTCTGTACTTGAACAGTAATTTCTGTACTGCACCAAGTGCACCGCTTTATTTGGATGTGCCTCCACTTGCACATGCACCGCCACTTGTCTCTGTGCTGGAACCTTCCCTTAAGCGACGTTGGGATGAACAATTTACGATCCAATGACGCTGGATGGCACTGGCTATTGTCATGCTCAGAAAATGTAAAATGTCTTTTGTGTTGTCGGTACATTTTTCGCCGCCGTCCTCTTTCTCTTGTAGCTGATCTTCTAAGATATAGTGCATGTGATGGTATTTTTTAAAACCTCTGCCGGGAACGAGTTGACGAACCCTTGGGGTCCCCGGTTTACGCCCCGGGGGGAGGTTAAAA